ATATGACAGTGATTCTGGGGAATGGAAGAACAGACCAGAATTGCTTGATGGTTTTACATGGTTGTATGATTTTTTTCAGTAGTAGCAAATTACCTTCATGTAGTACTAGAAATGGTCACTGGTTGGATTGATTGAAGGCTGATTATTTTCTTAAAAAATATTGGTGAAGGGATTAACCAAAGAACATTTACGCACAACCGTGGACATGACAACCGTATGGGGATTGCTTGGGGGTGGGGAGAGGACCGGGCTGGGTGGAGGTAGGGAAAGGGAGAAGGAACAACTGTAACAGCATAAACAATAAAAATAAACTAAAAATTAAATAATTTACACATGAGATTAATAGGACACTGTAAGTGAAAGAGAAGATACAGTTTACTTTAATTCAGGGCAATAATTCATTTACCAGTGCTGCCTTCACTCTGTACTGTTGAGAGTAATTTCTGGAATTGTATTTGGATTGCCTCATAGTATATAGTAGGAGAGAGTACAGTTTCAGAAACAGCATCTTTTATATGCTTATTTATAATGTGAATTCTGAAGCTACAAATAACAATGAAAAGTTCATATTTGAAATGTGTCATGTATTTCAAAATAGTATGGTAAATGGACACAGAAAAGGAAGACTTATAGTGAACCAATACATTTTTGTGTTGAGACAAAATTGTTATAAATGGAAGAGGTGAGAATACCCTAGATTGTCTTTTTACTGATGATATGTAGAAACCTTGCTTAGTATGTCTCTTAACAGGAAAGATGGAATTCCTCTTTCACCGAGGATTAGTACCTGCTGACTTTATTGGAAAAAGTACACATTTTTTCCCATTATGGAAGATTGTTTTAGAGCTAAAAATTCACTATTATTTTGGTTGTTAATTTCTGCTAATGTTTTGAGTTTTCAGGCAAATTATGTTACGGGATATATTGTGCTTTTGGGCAACTATGTTCACTACTTCCTAGGTAAAATCTAAAATAATCTTTTCTTGATAACTGTGTTTTTGTATAAGTGCCTGGATTTTTTTTTTGAAGTGTTAGGTTTTTAACCAATTTTGTTTAAATTAAAACAGAGCATTGTGTATATTAGGCTTTAAGAATTTATAGAATATCCACGAGTCTCTCCTTTCTTTCCTTCATCTTTTTTAAAATTTAAACAACTTATTAGTTCAGTAAAAATAAACCCATTATAACATATTTTAAGAAAAATAAAGTGATATTTTCCAAAATAAAAAACTCGTGAGAGACTACCATTGTTTTACAGTTTTACAAATCTCTTGAAGACATCTGAATTCTCTGTTATATCTACTGCATTCAATTAGATGTGATATGTTGTTTGATTTATTTATTGATTGATTTTAGAGAGGGGGAGGGAGAGAGAGAGAGACAGAAAAACATTGATTTGTTGTTCCACTAATTTATGCATTCATTGGTTGTTTTTTGTATGTGCTCTGACTGGGAATTGAACCTGCCACCTTGGCATATCAGGGATGATACTCTAATCAACTGAGCTACCAGCCAGGGCATGTTGTGATGTATTGTTTTGTTTTCTTCTAATATTTTCAAATTTTTTAATTATATATTATTGATTATGATTATGCTATTACAATTGTCCCAATTTTTCTCCTTTGCCCCCCTCCACCCAGCAACCCCTACTTCCTCAGGCAATCCCCACACCATGTTCATTGTCCATGGGTCATGCATATAAGTTTTGTGGCTACTCCTTTTCCTATTACTGTATTTTACATCCACTATCCTGTAACTACCTATTGAACTTCTTAACCCCCTCACCTCTTCACCCATTCCCCAACACCTCTCTCCCATCTGGCAATCATCAAATGCTCTCCGTATCCATGATTCTCTCTCTGTTCTTGTTTGTTTTGTTTGTTGTTTGGATTCAGTTGTTGACAGGTATTTATTTCCATTTTATTGTTCATAGTTTTTATATTCTTTTTTTTTTGAATAAGTACCTTTAACATTTCATGTAATAATGGTTTGGTGATGGTGAATTCCTTCAGCTTTTTCTTGTCTGAGAAACACTTTATCTGCTCTTTGATTCTAAATGATAGTTTTTCTGGATAGAACAATCTTGGCTGTAGGTCCCTGATTTTCATGACTTGACATATTTCTTGCCCATCCCTTCTACCTTGCAAAGTTTCTTTTGAGAAATCAGCTGACAGTCTCATGGGAACTCCCCTGTAGGTAATTAACTGCTATTCTCTTGCTGCTTTTGATTCTCTCCATCTTTAACCTTTGGCATTTTAGATATGCTGTGTCTTGGAATGGGCCTCTTTGCATCCATCTTGTTTGGGACTCTCTGTGCTTCCTGGACTTGCATGTCTATTTCCTTCATCAAATTAGGGAAGTTTTCTTTTATTATTTTTCAAATAGATTTTCAATTTCTTCTCTGTCTGGCACCCCTATGATGTGAATGTTGGAATGCTTAAAGTTGTCCCACAGACTGCTTATACTATGTTCATTTTTTTGGATTCTTTTTTCTTCTTGTTCCAGTTGGTTGTTTTTTTGTTTCCTTATGTTCCAAAACATTGATATGATTCTTGGTTTCATCCATTCTACTGTTGTTTCCCCTTAAATTGTTCTTTATTTCAACTAGTGAATCCTTTGTTTATGACTGAATCTTTTTTATGCTGTTTAGGTCCTCACCAAGTTTCATGAGCATCCTTATAACCAGTGTTTTGAACTCTATCTGATAGTTTATCGCCATTTCATTTAGTTATTTTTTTGGTGTTTTGATCTGTTCTGTCATTTGGGCCATTTTTCTTCATCTGTTCATTTTGGCAGCCCCTGTATTTGTTTCTTTGTGTTAGGTGGAACTGCTATAACTCCCTGTCTTGGTTGCATGGCCTAATGTATGAAGTGTCCTGTATGGTCCAGTGGCACTGCCTCCACTATCACTTGAGCTGGGTACTCAAGGTGTGCCCTTTGTGTGGGCTGAACACACCCTTCTCTTGTAGCTGAGCCTTGATTGCTGTTGGCAGGTCAATGGGAGGGATTTACACAGGCCAGTCAGTTTCAAGGACTGGCAGTGACCACTGACCACCAACCTCTGCCCTCTGTGGAAGATCAGTTGTGCAGGGGCAGGGTGGTGGTGCTCTGATATGGTCTGTCCACTGGGTGCACAGGCTCTGGGGTTTCCTGGGTGGTGCAGCCTAAGGTCTGCTCCCACCCGTGTTTTGCCCAGGGCCACCCTGCATGAGAAATAAAGCAATCTGAGATGGATGCTGCTTGTGCCAGGCTTGGAGATTCCCAAAGGAAGCCAAGCTGTGAATATGGGTTGGCTCCTGCTAGTACTGGGCCTAGATCACTTAGCAAGAGGTACAGGGGCTACAGGCTTTCTGAGGCCGGCTGTTGCTTGGTTGAGAGGGTTTAGGAAGTTGTGAAGCATGAGCCAAGATCAGCCATTTATATGGAAAAGTCATGGTTAACATTTTTGGTGGGCCTGTAATTTGGGTGGGAAGGAGTCTTAGGGGATCTCTTGGGTGGAGCAAACAGTATTAGCCAATTGATGGACTTTCAGATATGGCATCTGCCTGCCAGCTCTGTAGCTCTGTGGGGGGAGGACTCAGCAAAGGGGCAATGGTCTCTGCCCACCTTTCTGTTTGAGAGAAAGCTATCTGCCAGCTCTTGCCTTGATGCCCAACATTTCAGTTCCTCCCTGTATGCCACTGGTGCCTTTTAAGCTGCTACCCCAGTGCTGGAGCTCAGAGGGAGTGAGTCTGAGTAAGTCCATGTGTGGGTTTCTTTAAGTGGAACTGCTTGGGACTCCAGAAGTTTCTTTCACTGACTCAATCCTCATTGGTTTTTGTAGCCAGAAGTTATGAGCACTTATACCCTGGCACTGGAACCCTGGGCTGGGGTCCTGCTCTGGACCTGGGACTCTTTGCTCATGAAATATCCTTTCTCAATTTTTATCTACTACATGTGGATTGGGACCAGCCTGTTTTGTGACTCTACCCCTCCTTCCAGTCTGTATAGATATGGTTTCTTTAATTCCATAGTTTTCAGACTTGAAAACTATGACTTTCCATTCAGCTTGATTTCTGATAGTTCTGAGTCATGGTTGTTCTATATTCTAGTTGTAATTTTGATGTGGTTGTGTGAGGTGGTGAGCTATGTTTACCTCTGCCTCCAACTTGACCAGAAGTCCTTTCTACTACTACTTTTTTTTATTCTTTAAGGCTACAATCTGAAATTACCGCTTGTCTTTCCATTTCTTTTGGATGTAAATTTCATAGTAAATATTTAGAGAAGATCCCATGCCAAGTGTCACTACTAGCTTTGCTAAAATGGAGGAGCCTGCAAGTTCCTGGGGTTATTATTTTTGTTCATTTCTAGCTTTATATTTAACCACAATTTCTTTTAAGACAGTGCTTTTGAACTAACTTTTTAAAAAGTATAGAGTCTTTTTCAAGTGTTTATTTAAGCTTTTTACATCCTATATAGTTTTTTTTTTCAGGTTCTCATTTATTCAGTTTCTGGGTGCTTGGGGATGTCATCCTCTTTATGCGTGAAGATATTAAGTATTGGAAAGGTTCAGTAACTTGACCAAAATCATTCAAATATAGGCATGTCTGAAAGCATACAACTTTTATCTCTTGTATTGTTGTTTTTGCTATTTTATAATTATGAACAGTAGTATTCTCCATATAGTGCCTCTCTTCAGGGGAAATGAAACATTGCAAAGTAATTATCAAACCACGTCAAAGGTATAATTACTTTGTTCCTTCATTTCCCTAACTATGTGTGTGTTAAGCAGCCTTGAACTGTGTAGGTTTAATTTGGCAGAAAAAATCTGCTTTATTTCTAAGAGGTAGAGAGAAAAGCAAAAATGAGGATTGATTTTTGGAAAAAATATTAAGGGGTTTCTGAATGTTCTGGTGTTGAGAAAGAAACTCTAGTAAAAAAAATCCAGACTTTTTGTATATGTGTGTTGTCATGACTTTAAATGCTCTCCAGTCTTAAAACTTGTTCTTCTTCTTGTGTAGAGCTCTCAGTATGTACAGTGTGTTGCTGGGTGTCTGCAGCTGATGCTTCGGGTCAATGAGTACCGCTTTGCCTGGGTAGAAGCAGATGGGGTAAACTGGTGAGTGCCCTTTTACTTTTAATGTAGCATAGCATTTAAAAACATCCATCCTTGACATTTGCAAAGAAATTGAGTAATATTAATCATCCAAAAGAAGTATTTTAACTGTTCTGTGTCTTGTTTAACAGTGGATTGTGCTAACCGTCATGGAAGTCAATAACTAATAACTACCAGATGGAATATTTCCCCTTTCTCTTGCTTGGTCTGTGCTATTATAAGAGTTTAAGAACTCATAGAAACCTAATTTTTTAAAAATTTATTTATATTTTTTTTAAATTACTTTACTGTTGTTCAGTTACAGTTGTCTGCATTCTGCCCCCCCCCCCCCACTCCAGCCAAACCCACCTCCTACCTTTGCTTCCACCTTATCTTGATAGAATAAATTCCAGGTACTCAGATTAGTAAAGCAGTCATAAAACTATCTTGTGGTAAATTCAGGCAAAAATCAATAAGAATGGAGAGCATTATGCTAAGTGAAATAAACCAGAGAAAGACAAATATGATATAATTTCACTTACATGTGGAATTTAATGAACAAAATGAATTAAGAAGCAAAATAGTGACAGACTCATAGATAGGAGAGGAGACTGAAAGCTGTTGGGTTAGGGGTGCTGTATGGAGGGCCTGAGTAAAAAAGAAAAAAAAAAAAGGAAAAAAACGCATGGACTTGGACCACAGTGTGGTGATTGCTGGGGTGGAGGTGGGTGGGTGGAGAGAGGTGGGGGAGGGTACCAGGGAATAAATGGCAATGGAAAGAGACTTGAGGTGGTGAGCATGCAATATAGTGTACAGATGATGTGGTATAGAACTGTGCACCTGAAACATGTATAACTTTGTTAACCATTGTTACGCCAGTAAATTCAATAAAAAGGAACAATAATAAGAAAAGGTCTTATGCAAAAAAGAGTGAATAAAAGCCATGTTTTTGTAATGCTGTGTAATTAGTCCATTCTTTGTGGGACACACAAACATATTAATACAAAGAATGTCCCCAAACCCTAAAACAAACATATGAAATCCTCTTTTACTACCACAAGGCAGTTTATTTATCCATAGTGAGAGAACTCACTGCTCTTATACCAAATATTCTTTTAAGTTAGTGAAGACATTGTTTCTATGTTGGAAAATCTATACAGGAAGCTGGTTTATCAACAGATGATTCCTTGGTGAGCAAGGCTTCAGAGCCAGAAAAGTTCACTGAATGATCGTGGTGCTGTGTCTTCAGATTCTAGTAGACTGATGCATCCTATCTTCAGTGTAGGGATATACCTGTCAAAGGGACCAAATACCCTAGATAATTCTCAGCCAGTATTTGCATGCAGTTTCTTAGGGTGGCTGTTCTTATGAATTGCATTTGAATTGTCATGAGCTACTCAATAATCATTGACTCAATAAAGTAGTAATCTTACATCAAGATGCAAAATTTCAATCTGTTTTTACTTATTTAACAGTATGTGAGGAAAAATAGTCATCACCATTTGCCATCTAGATCCTTTGTAAAATATATATTTAGTTATTTTATGAATAATTCATGGAATTAAGAATGAGATAGTGAAAAACAACCATTGGAAATTTTAATAAGAATTTTTGTATAGCTCACCTTTTTGTAATAAGTGATTTTTGGTGCACAAACATTACAAAAAATGAGAGACAACCCTCACATATCCTTCTGGCAAAATGCAGTGGTGCAGGTTCTTACTGCAAAGCATTGTGTTGAAGTCTTTCATGTTGAATGGCTATGTGAGAATACTATATTTTCTTTTTTTCCTTTGAAATATATTGATCACTCATCAACTTTGAGTTTGAGAAAATATATTTATGGTTTAGTTACCTGAAGACTTACAGATGTGACCAGTTTCATCATCATTAGAGAATGGATTGCTATCTGTCTTTGTTTTCAACTTCGGATCATCTAATAACTGAAATGCCTTCCTCAGGTAATTGTTATAGGCAGAAAATAAAAAGTCCTGAATTTTCACACTCTGTCAGGAAACTCAACAGAAGGAGTTAGGGAACTCAGCATTTAGCTGAGATTTATTACAGAGACAGGGTAGGGATGGATGCAGAGGCTGACTCTGAAAGAATCCACATGAAGCTTCCTTATGTTCTGTCTCCTCCATGAGGGGGTCACAAGCACACTTTTTCTGCAGCAGTGAAAATGCAAGAACATTTGTGTGAGGTTTCTGCCCAAGAAACCCACTAGGGGCTTCAAGCCTACAGTTTTTATTGGAGGCTTATCAGGTAGGCAGCCTCTGCTTAGCATGCTGCAAAGTTCTAGTCTCCAGAAGGAAAGCAGGTGTTCAGCATAAATATATTGTTTGTGGAAACATTGTAGGTACTATGAGCCACCCTTGTCACTTAGGAAAAGTTTTGTATCGGTGTAGGGAACTGTTTACCAGTCAAGTTCCCAGAAGCCAGCCAAGGGTGTGATTTGCAGGCAGACCGCTGTAAGGATAGCAGTCATAGGATGACGATGTTAATAAAGGTAGACCTCCATTCTTTAAAAAATGTTGCAATATTTTGGGCAATCTAATAAGAAAGGGTACTTATTTATTTCACTATTATATTATTTTCTTAGGCAGTTCCATTGTATAAATTTCTTATACTTTTAGGCTTTAATTTTTTTAGCATAGTTGGGAATAATGAATGACTATTGATCAAACAATGTCTAGGATGATGAAATAGTGTAAATCTTTGAATTATAGATAACATAAAACACTAGGATCTAGTACTATGTCTTAGGTTTAAAAAATCTGTGTGATAATTGCAAAATAAATTGAATTTTATTCTGTTAAACAAAAAGTAGATTATTTTTGTTCTTCAGAAAACTGGTAAGAGAGAGTAAAAGTCACAAAACACCAATTTCTACAAATAATTATAATTGCTCAAAAAGCCCCCCTCAAATAACTAAAATTTGGTTCAATTAGGCTCTAATGGTATACTGAGGCTAACTAAATGCTGCTGTTGTAAGTATTAGCACTTAGTATTTTGGAGGACAGTAAGCAATATTAACCATCCAGTTTAGCAACAAGAACAGGGATAAATGCAGTCTAGAATATTCCATGATCATCTTACACATTTTGATATGGTAATCACTACTAACAAGATTAAAAGTAATCAAAGAGATCTGTAGATTGAGAATAGGCATTAAGAAAGGCATAATATGTTAATTCAACAATAGGATAGCAATTTATACAAGTTAGTTAATCTTTTCAATTTTTAAGGAAATAAAACATGTGCTTTCTGCTTTTCCATTTCCTTTGTTTAGGATTGAAAGTTTCTTTTCTGTTTTCTTTGGTACTCCTCTCATGTGAGGAAGAGAAATTTATGAGGGTAGCCTGTTTGAAGAGAGAAGAGAAATGATGTTTTTAAAACATCAGTATATTTTTATCCATATAGCTCTCTTTCGTTTTTGTTTAAAAAATCTTTTATGTGAATGATATAGTACTATTGCTGACTGTTTATATACCTATATAAGAACAAAAATATACTTGCATTGTCTTGTGTGTTGTTGACTTCATTAGAAGTCTAAAGATTGACACTGATTTTTTGAAAAATGCTGGAGCTAAAAGGGGACTTTACCTGGGATAATTACCTCTACAAGTTCAAATTGCCTCCACAAATGTTATACCCCAACAATTGAAATATTTTGAAAATATAAATAAGTATGTGAATGAAAGGTAAGATTTTTTTTAAACATTAAAACATTGCGTTATTAGGTAATGTTACATGATGAGGTATGATGTGCTCATGGGTTTGAAGAGCAGAAGCTGTCTGAAAGTGTACATGTTGGCCAGTAAACTAGCTACTTTATCTCCCTACTCCCTGCATTGGCTTGATATTTTGAAAAAACCTTACTTCAAAAACAAAACAGAACACTAAATAGTTCTTTTGGCCTCAGGGACCTTAGCCTTCTTTCTAATCTTGGATTTAACAATTACTGTATTTTTTGACTCTCTGTATAATGTACTATTTATGATGGGGAATACAAAGAACCATAAATGGTCCTTTCCTCTAAGAAATTTACAGTCTAGTTGAAAAATAGTATTAAATACTTAACAAAGATAGTATTTGGGATTATACAACATCATTTAGTAATTTTTTCAGTAACTTTAATGGTAACACTAAACTCACCAATTTGAGAGGAGTGTATTGCCTAAATGGCAGTGAATGCCCACTCATTTATCAGGTCTCATCTCAAGGCCACTTGCCCTGGGAATCCTTTCCTCCCATTGCACTAGACTCTAATTCCTTTAGAGCATGCCCAGTCTCTGTTTTGCCTGCCATTATGACCCCCATGTCTTGCATTGTACCTGCCCCATAGATCCTCAACACATATTTGTTAAGTTACTATATTTAGGTTTCTCTTGGGCCTTTGTGTCCTTTGCATTTCCTTAGTGTGCCCTTCATGCTCCACTATATTCTGGTAAACAGGAGTTTTATTTTGCTTCATTAGGTATTTCTTCTAGTTAATGTTTGGCTACAGAAGACCTCTCTCTCTCTCTCTTTTTTAAAGTTTTTATTTATTTATTTTTGGAGAGAGAGGGGAAGCGAGGGAGAAAGAGAGGAAGAGAAACATCAATGTGTGGTTGCCTCTCATGTGCCCCCTACTGAGGACCTGGCCTACAACCCAGGCATGTGCCCTGACTGGGAATTCAACTGGCGACCCTTTGGTTTGCAGGCTGGCACTCAATCCACTGAGCCACACCAGCCAGGGAGAAGACTTCTCTTTTCAATGAATTATATATATTGTAGACAATTTTATATTCTTTTAAACATCTTTGTGGTGTTCATCTTTGTTGACAACACCTTTCTTTGAAACCTTTCTGTCTTTGGCAACACTGGTTCTGACAAAAACAGAGGTCCTGACCTCTCCTTAACCCTTCTGTTCATTTAAATTTTTAAATTTTAATAGAGGTCATTTAGTATGAAGAACTGTTAACTAGGTATACATTTGTTAACTAGGTTTCTGAAAACAAATAAAAGGACTCTCAAGTGTCAGGAATGGTAGCTAGCTGAGATACCCTTAAAGCTGGGGAACAAAGGTAAGAGGTTGCAATGACTAAATTTGCATGCTTCAAGGAGAGGCTGTGTGAAACTGCAATTTAGTCCATAGAAGGGGGAGTACCCTGAGCTTATAGTATAGGCCTCATAGGTTGGGAACCCACGTGGTTGGTCTCTGAGGGAGGCTTTCAGCTGCTGCTTCGAGGAAGGGTGGTTGCTACCAGGGTGAAGAAATGCTGCTGAGTGATACAGGAAAAGGAAGCCAACAGGAGACATTCCCTTTTGCCTCTAAGCTTTCAGTCAGCCTCTAGCACCTCCTATTGGCAGAACCAGCTAGTAAAGCAGAAATGTGGCTTGAAGTCTCAGCCACATCATCACAAAGTGGAGAAGGCTTACTTTACTAATTGGAAGAATTAAAAAAGGAAACCACGTATTAGGGTAGTAATAGAATAAAATTACATGATTTTACAGCTGTTGAAATACTGCCATCAATATTTTAAAAACTCAAGTCTTACATAACAACCAAATTAGAAAAGACTCAAGGGAGAACTCATACATGAAAAAATTAAGGGCGATTCAAGCAAATTTATAACTGAATACAAATTTAAAAGGAAGAAATGGTGCAAATATAAACCTTCCACTAAGTTAGTAGTTATAGATTATAAAATTAGGTTTAAATTTTATTTATATTAATAGACTTTTATGTTTCAAAGCAGTTTTTGGTTGTAGAAAAATTGAAAGTGAGGAGAGTTCCCATATATACCTCCCCTTCCATAGTTTCTCTTATTATTATCTTCTACTAGTATGCTATATTTGTTTCAATTGTTGAAACAGTAATGGTGTACTCTTACTAAGTGAGAGTCATAGTTTACGTTAGAGTTCATTCTTTACATTGTGCATTCTGTAGGTTTTTAGTCCCTTAACCCCTCTGCTCTTTTTTTAGTGGCCTAATTTGATGGTTTCTGTTCTTCCTTGGTTTCTGTGAATGAGGCATTCCCCAGGGAAATTACCGTAGTGCTCTCTTCCTTTGTGTAACCTCTTTAATTTCCCTTTAGTTTTCCCAGTTTTCTTGTGTCAGTAAATGGGCAGTTGAACTAGAAGCTTCTCAAATTCTAACCCCCACATTCAATGACTGGCTGTGTTAAATTTAGACTCAGGGTGGGTTTTTGCCAAACTCATTCCTTTTTTCCTCTCAGAGTTTCTTAAAAATTTGAAAGCTATACATGATTATCTTGGTTGTTCAGACTCAGAATCTTGATACAACATCTGATTTCACCAAGATGAACGTCCTGTTGAATTTAGCTTCTATAATGTTTGTCAGATTCTTTTTACTGTTTCTTCGTCTGTATTGCAAGGCTGTGTTTCCTCTTTCATTGCTTTCTTGCAGCAAATGCTGCTGCTTGCTAAAGTCTTGTGTTTTGGAGAGAGGGTTAAGTGAAGCTGTGCTGCAAATGATCTCTGAGTAGAGATCTAGCTTGCTTGTTACTGCTAGCAGAAAAGAAACTGAGGACGTAATTTTGTTCCATTAGTGCAAAAAGAATAATCAGTTACTTCTTTCTTGTTACACTGTCATACTAAATGTTTTCTTAATATGTGTTCCTTTTCAGCATAATGGGAGTTTTGAGTAACAAATGTGGCTTTCAACTCCAGTATCAAATGATTTTTTCAATATGGCTTCTGGCATTCAGTCCTCAAATGTGTGAATACCTGCGGCGCTATAATATCATTCCTGTTCTGTCTGATATCCTTCAAGAATCTGTCAAAGAGAAAGTGACAAGAATCATTCTTGCAGCATTCCGAGTAAGTGTTCTGTTTTGTTTTTTTAATAGTGTATGTGTGTGAGGCATTTTTTTAAAACTTTTTTTTATACTTTTTAAAAAAGATTTTATTTTTATTTTTTAGGGAGGGAAGGGAGGGGGAAAGAGAGAGAGAGAGAAACATCAATGTGTGGTTGCTGGGGGTCATGGCCTGCAACCCAGGCATGTACCCTGACTGGGAATCGAACCTGCACCACTTTGGTTCGCAGCCCGCGCTCAATCCACTGAGCTATGCAAGCCAGGCCAAGTGAGGCATTTTTACTGTGGAATATATTTTGAGGGCTTTTAGAGGGTGGGAAAAGTGTTCTTCACATAGTCATGAAACTATGATGTCTTAGTGAACATAGATTAAAAAAACACTAATTTGTATTTACACCATGGGAGAATGGGGCATGTGCAAGGACACCATTTAAAGGGATGAAATGAGTTCTGGAATGTTTGTTAGAAATTGTAATTGCATTACATTCAGATAAAAGAAATCCTTTTATTTTTTATTTTTTAATTTTTTGTATAACATATAGACTCAGACAATAGTATAATGATAGCCTAGTGACAGAGTAAGAGGGCTGTGGGGAGGTGGAAGTGGGCAAAGCATGGTTAAATGAGGATCCAAAGAGACTACTTTGGGTGATGGGTACATAGTACAGTATGCAGATTTTTTGTTGAGTTGTACACTTGAAACCTGCCTGGCTTTGTTGACCAGTCTGACCCCAAGAAACTCAATTTTACAAAAGGAAGTCCTTTTTTGTTGCAGTGTGTTTCAAGAGACTATCATTGAGGATTTTCTCTTATGGGGCCCTTATTTTAGTATGGAATTTTATTTCAGATTTTGGGCCTACTGACAAGCAGTATTTCTGAGGCAACTATAAACATGTGGTAGACATGCAAATCCAAGTTATTGGCTTCAGAATCTGTTTTTAATTATTATTTGTTATTATGGTTTCTTAAACAACAAATCAGAAGTAAAATGTAGTACAGATATATTGCAAACATTTAAATAACATTGACATCATATTTACCTGATACAGTCACTGACATCTTTTTAATTTTTCTAAGCATTACAGATAAATATATAAATAGATGTGTAATTGTTTTATGTTTAAAAATAAAAATGGCATATGATAAATACTGTTCTTTAACTTTATTCTTAACAGTATATAATGAATATGCTTATGTTTTTATATGTGTAAATATTCAGTATTCTTTTTAAATTTTTATGGGTGCATTTGAACCAAATTGATTACAATTGCCTGGATGCAAAATCTCAAGGGTGTGAGAAAATGCTCCAGAAAATGGCATTTTTACCACTTAATTTATACATCAGAATCAAAGAAGATGACAGAAGGGGATTACATGAAATTTTTGGTGATAGATTAGGGAGGTGGGAGAAAGCAAAACAGGGAAATCTCTGGGATTGGATAAAAAGTAAAAATAATAGACACAAAATTCTTTTACATAGGTGGGTATAGGATGGTTAACATTTAACAATGAACATAATATTAGTATTCTTTTTAATGGCCATGTTCTACCCATGTTCATGTAAAGTGGTTTATTTAACCACTTTGTTGTGTTGATGTGCATGTAGGGTGTTTCTAGTTTCTTTTACATATATTTGCCAGCTTTGATGAATATTTCTGTTGAATATAGTTCTAGAGGTGGAATTGCTGAGTCAAAGAATATACTTTTCTACAATTTTGATAGATAATATCAAATCACCTTTCAAAAATGCAAATTTACATTTTCATCAACCATATATTAGAATTGTGTTTTTCTGTTGTTTTCCTAAGGTTTAATATAATCTTTTAGTAGTTACACAAAATTAGTTGAAAAGTGAAATCATTGTTTCAGATTTGTATTGTGTTAGAGTGAAGCTGAGCATCTTTTAAGATTTTTATCGGTCATTTATATTCCTGCTATAAATTGCTTATTCATAGCATTCATCACATTTTAATGTTTAAAATTTGATATGTAATAACTCTTTTTTAGAAGCTTGTAGTTAATAATAGTAATAACTAATGTTTATTGAAAATTTATTCTGTGTCAGGCACTGTTTTAATTGCTTTAAATGTGTTATGCATTTAATCCCTCAAGAACTCCATTTAGTAATGGGCATGAGGCCACAAGAGGTTAAGTAATTTGCTGAAAGAGCCAGGAAGCAGCAGAGCTGGATTTCAGACTCAGGCAGGCAGTCTGGCTCATCCTCTTAACCATTATGATAACCTGTCTTTAATATTCAGAATAATAAATGTTATAATTTGAGTGATTTTTTGTGCATTGTCTAATTTAATCCTCATGAGAATTCAGTAGGTACTATTATTATTTTCTATTTTATAGATGAGGAAACCAATACTTGGAGATTAATTCTTCAGTTAGTAAGTGATAGAATCAGAATTTCAGTGATACCTACTTAGCTCCAAAGCCGCCATCTTAACCACTGTGGCATCATCTTTTTTTTCCTTGTGACATTTTCTCAGGAATCTTGAAAGTGGCATTAAAAGGAGAGAAAACCATGAAAAGTAGAATCATAAGTCATGTGGCAAAGGAATTAGATTTCTTTGCTGAAAATACCAGATGTGAAAGCCGTCAAACTTCACGTTTTTTCCTAGCTGCCTGACAAGTGTTAAATGAATGACTAAAGGCAATGAGAAGTAAAGTCCAGTATAAATTTCATTGAAAAAGTGGAAAGTGAAATGAAAGTGTGAATTGCTAGATATGATAAGTGGCAGTCACCTGTTGACCAAATGTTTAATGTATTAGATTGCTTTTGGTTATCCTTATTTACAAAATTTTACATTTTAATGTAAAATTTGCTCTGTGGCCTTTGAGAGGTTTACTTTTAAGAAATAGGTGAATTTGGTACCTCTCTATTCTTCTACCTCAGTGTATTTATTGTCTCTGCCATTACTTTTTTAGCAAACTGCCTACATGGGGTGAATTTTAGTCTCATTTAGATAAAGTAGTAACCAATCCTTAAATCAGAATAGGTTGTATTAATGAGCTCTGCAGTATTTTAGTAGCTAAACTGAATATATTTTTTCTTCTACATGAGTGTTTCATTATCCTTCTCATTTATTTAGTAAAGATGAAAAGTTCTAGAAATAGGATACTCTGACAGTCTCCTTCTATTGCTAGAGTTGAAGATAATTCACAAACAAGTTTTGAATCTCATTTTTTTCCAGCTCCATTATGCTAATCATTAGGGAACACAGGTGCTTATGATACAGCTTGACATCAAATTGCTTGTTTAGTGAAGACAGAGTATATAAATAAATAATGTCAGTGCAATGCAATGATAAGTAATACACAAAAGTAATATAAGAGAGGTGGAGGGTAAGAATAGGGGGTTTTAGGAAAGCTTCATAGAGAGGCCTGAAGAGGTTTTAGGAAGGTGCATATTAATTTTTTTGAAGTACAAAGGTGGAGAGAGGTTAATAAATGTTAATGAGTGAAAAAAGGACTTTCTGGAATTGTTAGTAATTTGTTGTTGTAGGAGTATTGATTATTGCCTCTCTGTCCCACACCCCCATTCTCAAGTGACATGTTAAGGGAATAAATGGAGCACCTGAGTCAGGCTCTTAATACAGTCCTGGTATTTGTGACCATTTGCTTTCTGAAGGCACAGACACGCTCTGTGAAATGGAGCTTGTGCTTTGCTGATCTCTATTCCCATTCTGGGCCTTGAACTAGTGGGACCAACACACAGTTTTCAGCCATCCTGTTGTTTTTGACTCACCCTAACTTATTTTCATAGTTGTGAGGCATTACTCACCAAAGCCCAGTGTCTTCAAAAAGACTCCGTCAGATCTAATTTTGCTCCTTCATTGTGTACTGTGCCCTACTCTCATGGAACATGAGTAAGAGCTGATTCTGCTTTTAAATTTTATTCATTGTGGTGAAATATATATGTCATCTTTTCAAATTGATATATTTATTTTCTGAAGGCTTAAAACTTCTATTTGTGGTTTTGAATTTCTTTGTCTTTCCAACTTTCTGCTGTACTGTAGTCACAGGAACCTTTATTATATTAAACTCTTCTATTTCAAATTAAGCACTACCAACTAAGAAATTAGAAATATTAATAGTTTTATTCTTTTCCTGCTTATAAAAATAATATCGTCTTGTGGGTAAAAACTAATATATAGAAAAATATTAAGGAAAAAAGTATAAATTACACTATTCACCCTTCTAGACATAGAAGAAGCCTGTTGATATTTTAATGCCTATAATTTATGATTTTGCTCCCTTCCTACATGGGGGTTCAACTTTGTATGAATTGCAGTGGGCATGGAAAAACTGAATAGTTAGAGGGAAGTAGAATTTTTGTTTCTTTACAATTTGGTCAGATCATGCTTTGCATGTTACTACAAAGACTGTGTGCATATGGCTTGGTTGTGTGTGTTCCCAGCATGTACAGCCAAAGTCAGGTTTGCTGTGCTCTTGGTCTGGTCTCTGTGCCTTTGGAAAGTTGCTTAGCTTCTCCAGGCTTCAACTCTGTTCATGTGTCTGGTAAGATTGTTATTCCTCTTAAGTCTGTCATTGGACTTCATATATGCTCATATATTAATGCCTTTGGAGAAAATAAATGTTGACTAAATGAATATTTGGCATATGTAGGCCCTCAAGTATTTGGGATCATATGAAGGATAAAAAAACACTGAAGTGAAAGTTGAAAAACCTTCTGTATGGAAGTAGGGTAGTGGTATTGAATTTAATGATATATTTACTGGTTTCTATATTGAGTTAAATTCCTTTTTAAATTTTTGGCTGCTTTGTTTGGCTCTCATAATTAAAATTATAATAAAATTCCACGAAAATGAATTTAACTCGGTGCCTCCTATATCTAGTTTTTCTTTTAAATTATTTTTTATTGAGTTTATTGCAGTGACATTGGCCAACAAAATAATACAGGTCTCAAGTGTATCATTCCATAACACATCATCTGCACATTGCACTGTGTGTCTACCACCCCAAGTTAAGTCTCCC